GTATGTAAGTATACCCATGTGGTGCAATGTCTGAGAAGATCAGAAGAAGGATCCCCTGAAACTGGAGTTATGGATGGCTGTTAGCCACCATGTGGATGCTAGGAATCGAACCCAGGTCCTCTGCAAGAGCAGTCAGTACTTCAAACCACTAAGCCATCTCTCCATCCCAAAGAAACAATTTTTTTTTTGAGACAGGGTTTCACTATGTAGCCCTAGCTAGTTTAGATCTTGCTAGGTAGACCATCCCAGGCTGGCCTCAATTTCACAGCTATCCACCTGCCTCTGCCTCCTGAGTGCTGGAATTAAAGGTGAGTGCCACTACACCCAGCCTCAGAATCAATTATTGTTATTATTTTTATCTAATACCCAACTTGATTCTATCAAGATGACCCAGCCTGGGTTTACACACTACCTTTAGTTCATGGGCCACTTATAACAATCATCTTTTCTTATGTCTTTTATTTGTTGAAGAAATAGAGTCATTTAGGTGACAGAACTTTCAACATCTAAAATAAACTGGTTGAAAATATGGGATGTGCTAATCTCTAAACTATGTATATATTTGATTTTGCAATGTAAAAAAAAACCTTAAATATACAGATTTAGTAAGCATAGCATAATACACTCATCTCCCAGCTACCACAATGACTTTTTTTTTTTTGGCTGAGTCTAATTCTTTTTCTAAAAATCATTTAAAAAAATTTTAATAATTACATGATTAGAAGAAGCATTTCATTACAGCTTTAACATATTCAGTAACACACTCCAGAGCAAGAGTACATCTCTTTCACAAGTGGCTATAAGTTTCTAGGTTCACATTTGAATTAATACAGCTATACAATATTGAACTCAGTATAAGCCCTGCAAGACATAAAATTGAATGAGTTTTTACCCTTTAAAGATCTCCATTTCATTTTAGAATATATTGTTCCTTGAAGAAGCACTTATTGTTTTTTCTACTAACACTGAGATGTTAGTGCATGCATCTCTAATTCGTATGTATCTATTACTAGTCATAATCAGTTGCACTTGGATCCTTGGCACCTGCGTTTGTCTATAAAGTCATCAGATAGATTTCGATGGTAATGTTTATCACCTCTACTAACTAGCAATACATAAATTTCCATGCTTCCTCCTCAAATATAATACATTTA